AGTTAGCAAACCAGATTCAACCTGCATTAATCCACCACGACCAAGTGGGATCCACCCCAGGAATGCAAAGATGGTTCAGCATCCACAATTCAATCAACCAGATACATCACAGCCGCAGTTCCCCGAGCTGCCTCACGGCAGCGCTGGCCTGGCTGCCCAGACCGGCCCGAGACAGCCACTGGGCCCACTTCCCCGGGATTGTGGATGACATGAGGGCAGGGCTTGTCGGGCTGCTCACCCCCCTCTGTGTTTCAGCACTCAGGCCTGTGGACTGCCTTTTGCCTCAGGGTCTGGCGGGGGCGGGGGGGCGGCGGTGGTGGTGGTGGTGTCCTAACCCTCATTCTTTCCACCTCCCTGGTGTCCTGCCCCCAGCCTCCTCTTCCTCTGGCTCCAGGAGAGCAGACCTCCAGCCCCCTTCTCCCTTAGGCCCAAGGACTCTAGGCTCCTCCCCCTCCTCTCCCAGACCCAGGAGTCCGGGGCCCCGCCTCCTTTATCCCCAGGATCCAGGAGTCCACACCCCGAACCCCTACTCCCCCAGGGTTCAGGAAAGCCAGGATGGGAAACAGACACAGAGGAGGAGCAGACGTTCAGAGTGCACCCCCAGCCCATCACCCAGCCTCACCTGGTGGGCGCCAGGCTGGTGACCTGCTGATGTGACTGGGCACTGGGCAAACCGCCACCGCTAGGAGGCAGCAGGAGCAGCCCAGAGCCTGCCCCTCCCTCTGAGGGCAGCTCAGGAGACGTCTGGCTCGGTTTGACCCCAGCAGCCACTGCAGCGGCGGCGGCGGCGGCCTCTGGGTAGGAGTCCATGTCCAAGTAGGAGGGGTCAGGGGCGTCCGAGGCCCCCAGGCTGCCCGGCTCCAGCAGCTCCGCGAAGGGCGGGTGGTGGGCGGCGTGGGCATGGTGGTGTGGGCCCCCCAGCAGAGGGTGGCCACCCAGGCCAGCCCCCAGGTGGTGCCCACTGCCGCCTACCAGGCCTGCCAGCCCGACCCCAGGGCCTAGCTCTTTGCGCAGGGGGCCACCGCCCACGGCCGAGCCCTTGTCCCGCCAGGGCACCCAGCACAGCTTCCAGGACACGAAGAGGGAGACGCCCAGGAGGACGATGCCACAGAACGTCACGATGACTGACAGCAGGCTCACCGAGATGTCTAGAGAGAGCGGGCACAGAGGTCAGGGGTCAGGGTGCGGGGGTCACAATTTATCTTCCCGAAGAGCTAAGCTTCAAAAAATAATTAAAAAGTAATTTTTTAGTATTTGCCATGCATTGTTCTAAACAATTTACATATATTATTTATTTTAAACTCCATGACCCCACAAGGTGGGTATTTTATATACCCATTTTAAAGATGAGGAAACGGAGGCACAGAGAGGCTGAGTGACTTGTAGAAGGCTTCACAGGAAGTAAACGACAGGTCTGCGATTTGAACTCAGCAGCCTGTCTCCAGACTTTGTTCTCTTGATCGCTAGCACACGGTGCCTCTCTGTAAGAGGGTACACCCCCAGAAACAGGACCAAGGTCCCCCCAAAATGCTCAGAGGCGATCAAAGAGAAGCTGTGTGGCCTTGAGAAGCTGCCTTAACCACTCCGAGCCTTGCACCCCCCATTTGCTGGAGAGGAGAGAATCGGTCCTGCGTGGAACCCCTTTTCTGAGTTCTGTGGGTCCTCCTAGGAGGCCACTGAACCTGAGGCTGGTCCTGACTTCCCGGGGTCAGGTCTGGCTGTTCCGCCTACGGCTGTGGGACACCAAGCAAGTCGCCGCAGCCCTCGGGCCTCGCCGCTCAGCGCTGTGCCCTGGGCGGTCTGCCCCGTGCACAGCAAGCTGCCGCTCAGTCTCCCAGGACCAGACGTGCTTCCTCAGGCCCCTCATCCAGCCCGTCCTTGCTCTGAGAACCCTGCTGCCTTGGAGCTGGGTGACCTGGGGCAAGTCAGTTCACCCTTCTGAGCCTGTTTCCCTCACTGAAAATGGGGATCATATGTACCACGAAGGGTCACTGAGCGTCGTCGATGGAACAGGCCCGGGGCCTCGCGGGTTGCCTGCTTCACAGTTGGTGTTTAATGAGAATCTCCCAACCTTGATGGAATGACCACTGTGTGCCCAGCTTGGCTACACTCTTCACGTGTGTTGTAGCATGTGAGTCTCTCATGCCCCACGGGGCAGTCACTTACACTGTCTCCGTTGTCCAGATGGGGAAACTGAGGCACAGACAAGTCACTTGCCCAAAGCCATCCAGTTAGTACTGAGAGAGGTGGGATTTGAACCCGCGCACGCACTATTCGAGATGCACAAAGGTAACTGGAGGGGATATGCGGCAGCATGGGGGGTGGGGGGGGGCCTAGGGCAGAACTCCACAAGGTCAGGGGTCAAATGGACCACACAGCTCCTGCTCCTTGGATCAGAGTTTGGGGGGGCCAGCAGCGGACAGGATGGAGGCAGGACTCTAAGCGGAATTAACCCCACAGGGAAGAGAAAGCTGAGCGGGTCTGCGGAGGCGGAGGCAGGGGCTGGGGGGACAGCTGGGGTGCTGACCTGCATCGGGGCCCCGGGGGTAGCCCCGGATTCGCAGGTCGTTGAACTCCTGGCACCTGTCGCTGGTGTCGGCATCTCGGACCCGGGCACAGAGGTCTGAGACCAGGATGAGTGCCCGTCGGCAGAGGTCATCTTCGTAGTCTCCGGACATGGTGACCGGTGGGTCCTGCTTGGGACGGGCCGGCGAGGGTGCAGGTGGGGAACGAGATGGGGGAGAGAGTGGGTAAGTGTGGAAAGAGAAAAGACAGATGGACAAGGGGACAGAGATTTGGGCTGATGGACAAGGGGACAGAGATTGGGGACTGATGGACAAGGGGACAGAGAGTGGGGGCTGGGAAAAGGGGCAAGGGGACAGAGATGGGGGGCTGATGGACAAGGGGACAGAGATTGGGGGCTGATGGACAAGGGGACAGAGATTGGGGTCTGGTGGACAAGGGGACAGAGATTGGGGGCTGATGGACAAGGGGACAGAGATTGGGGTCTGGTGGACAAGGGGACAGAGATTGGGGGCTGATGGACAAGGGAACAGAGATTGGGTATGAATGCAGAAGGAAAAGGAAATTAGGGGCCAATGGACGGGAGGACTGGAATTAGGGGTGGGCAGGCAAGAAGATAGTAACAAGGGTTTGACAAACAAGGGACAGAGATGGATGTGAGTGGCCAAGAAGACAGGATAGGGACAAATGGACCAGGAGGAAGGGACTGGAAAGGCCACATGGGGCAGAGGTTAAGGATGCACAAATAAAGGGGTGAGCGAACAAGGAGACAAAGATTAGGGGTGCAGGGGTGAGCAGACAGAATTTAGGGATAGTCATTCATTATGCGTATACTTCCAACAAACACTCATTGAGCACCAACTACATGCCAGGCACTCCGCCAACTGCTGCAGATCCAGCCGGAACGTGCGCACCTCCCGCGTTCCCTCATTTCCTGGTGTCACAACCCACTGAGAGGTGACAATGAGTAAACAAATCCGTAGACACATAAACAACACAACGCTCTCAGAAAAAACAGCGGAAGGAACCAAGGAACCAGGGACCAGGAGGTGGCGGTCATCTGGGGAGGGGGCTCTCTGAGACCTGCGGGATGAGATGGAGCCGGCCAGTGGGGCTGGAGTCGGGAAAAGCATGCGAAGTAGCAGGAACAGCATGAGCAACCGCCCAGGGTGGGAAACAGCTCGGTGTGGCCCCGGGGAGGGACAGGAAGCCAGATCGGAGTGGACAGAGAGACAGGACTAAGGGAGAGGGGTGCATGGAGGTAGGGAGAGATGGTTATGTGTGGTGGTGGCTGGGAGGGATGGAGCTGCAGGATGCGGAGACAGGGACCAAGCTGAGGGAGGGAGAAATGAGGGGAAGGGGAAGACATGGGTAGGAGACCATGGGGAAGGCGAGCTGGGGCTCAGAAGAGAGGGACAGATGAAAAGACAGACAGAAGTCGGGGACGGAGACTTGGGATGGACAGAGCTGTGCACTGCGCGGGAGTGTGGGAGATGGGCAGACAGAGGGCAGTGATGAGGGCCAGGCAGACTGTGGCCAGCAGGACCTCAGAGAGAAACAGCAGAGGGAGAATGGATGGTGTGCAGAAATAAAGGAGAGACAGACAGATAATGGCCAGGGAGCACAGCCGGACAAAGGATCCAGAGGAGGGCTGGGCGGGCAGACATGGGTCCCGAAGGAAGGTTGGAGGCGGGAGCATACAAGAGAGGCGACCGGGGAAAGAGGTGGACGTGGGGAGGGGGCACATAGCGGCACATGGTTTGGAGCCAGACATCAGAGATGGGCTGGAAGGAGCGTGCAGGGGAGACAGGTGTGGGGATGCTGCACAGGCCGGGGCTCCGAGACCGGCATGGGCACACTCACCTGCGCTTATCCCTGCCGGCTCCTGGGTGGCAGCCGAGGCGGCGGGCGGCAGCCCATGGG